TTTTTTTTTTTACTTTTTATCTTATATGTTTACTTTCTGCTTTTTTTATGCTCGACGAAGAAGAAGTCGATATTTTAAAGTTTTTATGAAAATGTATATAATTAATTTTAGTATTTAAACTTTATACCATTGAAGTTCATCGAGAAAGTCGATATTTTTGATCTTAAATTAATATATCAAAGATATCATATGGTTACAGTTTATTATATTAATGCCTTCAAACAACTGAAACTTCTAAGTCTTATAAAGTGTGATATTTTAACGTTAAATCAAGAAATTCAAATTTTTAAGATCCCAAAAATGTGATTGAACTAATGTTCATTATATGCATTAATATTCGACAATATTAATATCTCAAAGATCTCATTTTGTTACCGGAAGGTGAATAGTTTTAATTTCGTTCTAATTAACTGATTTTTTTTTCGTAGTGGATTTTAATTTTTAATGTTTATGTGAAAATTAAGATTTTTTTACTATTGAAGTTCATCGATTTTTTGTACAGTTTTTATTTTATGCTTATTTTTTCCTTTTTTATGCCCGACAAAGAAGTCGATATATTTAAGTTTTTATGTCAAAATTTAGATCATTAATTTTAGCACTTAAATTATTTATTATTGAAGTTCATCGAGAAAGTCGATATTTTTGTTTTCAAATTAATATATCAAGATATCATATGGTTACAGTTCATTATATTAATGTTTTCAAACAACTGAAACTTCTAAGTCCTATAAAACATGATATTTTAACGTTAAATGAAGAAAGTAATTTTTAAGATTTCAAAAATGTGATTGAATTAGCTATCATTATATGTATTAATATTCGACAATATATTTTTATAAATAAAAAATAAATAAAAATCAACTAGTATTTTTGAATTTGGTTTCATGTATTTTTGGATATTTCGCTGCCATCTACTCACTAATTCATTAATTATTTAGAAGTTAGAATAGTGGTCAGAAAAATCGCTAATTATCGTGATGTTTTCCCAATAGTTTCATCGTTAGATTCACTTGCACATCACCAACTAAATGACATGTATGAGCGAGAGAACATACTGAAGCGAAAATGCGCACATGAGTGTGCAAGAAAGGGATGCACAATCGCACAGCCGGAGAAGTGGTCATTTTTTTTCCCAAGCCCATACAAAACTAACCGCTAAACTGACGAAAAGTATTAGTCAGTTTGCCCACTAATTTAGTCGATAATCATAGGTCAGGCTTCTTGCAGGGGTACGGATTAAATAAGATTCGACCATCGAGAATCGAATCGCGAACTGCCCTCAGCAGTATCAAAAATAAAACCGTGATCGCGAAAAATACCTAAATAAACAATACGACATTGTGGGTATAAAAATAAATAAATTATTGTTTACATACAAAATACGAACGAAAGTTATGTGAGAGATAAGTGTCGAGGGCGCTCCTCTAAAGGAGCGCAGGCACTCAAGGCAAAGCGCAAGCAAAAGAGATGCATATTTGACAATTATTGCATACAGCCCAAAAAGCAACAACGCTAAAGAAAACTCTTATACTGCTAACCAGTGTTGCCGCGCCGTCCCAAGAAAATGTATCACCGACCAAGCCAAAAATGTATCCAAATGTATCCAATTTTCTTTTTTTACGTATCCATCTCATAATTTGTAAGAAAACCAAACATTTTGAAGAAAAATACATAATTTAACCCATCCTAAGGACTTGGAATACGTGTATATATATTTTTATATTTCATAAAATCAAACATTTGTAATTTCAGTTTATAAATTACATCTTTTATACATAAGTATTTTGCAAAGTAAGTATAAAAAATAGTAATTAATATGTTACATTTGTATGAAAAGTATACTATCCACCAACCGATGAGAGACGTTATCGAGAATATCCGGTCTCTATACGAAAAGGCTGCTGCAGAAAAATGCAAGTGCAAAGATAACGAGGCAGTCTGTGTTATAGGAAGCACACAAACGTTGCCATGGCCAAGAACAAAGCCTGGCTCCGTTCGGAGAAAAGCGGCTACTGAAGCTGTCGGCTCCNTGAAAAGTATACTATCCACCAACCGATGAGAGACGTTATCGAGAATATCCGGTCTCTATACGAAAAGGCTGCTGCAGAAAAATGCAAGTGCAAAGATAACGAGGCAGTCTGTGTTATAGGAAGCACACAAACGTTGCCATGGCCAAGAACAAAGCCTGGCTCCGTTCGGAGAAAAGCGGCTACTGAAGCTGTCGGCTCCCCGGCGAATAAACGCGGAAGGAACGGAGGAAGTCAACAGGGATGTCCAAAACCCGTAGAAAACGGGCCTACAATAGATTCTACGGCCACAGTGCAAGCAAATAAGGACAACGAGTGGACCGAGGTCAAAAAGAAGGAAAAACGGCCCAAACCGAAGTATGTTGCCACCACAGGAAAACTGAGGCCAGACGCAATCATCATAGAGAAAAAAGGTGAAAGCTCGTATGCCGACATCCTAAAAAAGGTTAAGAGTGATGAGAACTTTAAGAGTTTCGGGGATTCCGTATCCAAAATACGACGCACCCAGAAAGGCGATCTTCTTATCGAACTCGCGAAATCATGCCCAAAGTCGGCGGAATTAAAGGCCCTTGTGAGTGCTACCCTAGGGGACGATGCTTCGGTAAAGACATTTACTCACCGAATCCTGGTAGAATGTAAAGACATCGATGAGGTTACAACCAAAGAAGAGGTATACAATGCTATTAAATCATTGCCTGGTCTTGAAGGTATTGAGAGTTCAGATATAACTGGTCTGCGCCCTGCTTATACTGGCACTCAAACAGCTATTATTAGCTTACCTGCTCCAAAAGCTAAGAAACTTATACAGCTTGGGAAAGTAAAGGTAGGATGGGTTAACTGTCGCATCCGCGAAAGGGTCCAGCTGAAAAAATGCTTTAAATGCCTCCAGTATGGCCACATGTCCCGTAATTGCGGTAGCACATTTGACCGGTCGAATCAGTGCCGAAAGTGTGGCACTGAGGGGCACTTCGCTAAAGATTGTAAAAATAATCCACAGTGTATTCTGTGTAGAGCGGAAAAGAGAGAGAACATAGACCATNTAGAGAACATAGACCATATTACAGTCAGTTATAGATGCCCAGTTTTTAAGAAAGCTCTTACAAACAGGAAAAAATGAGAATAGTCCAAATAAACCTCAATCACTGTGAAGCAGCGCAAGATCTACTATCACAAACAGTAAGGGATCTTCAGGCAGACATGGCGATTATAAGCGAACCTTATAGGTGTAAAGATGACTGTGCGTGGGTTTGCGATAGTAAACAGGGTGCAGCTATATGGCTCTGTGGTGGACTCGCATTTCAAAGAAGGCACAGCATGGGTGAAGGTTTCGTTCGAGCTGAGGTAAACGGAATTAGCATTTTTAGTTGTTATGCAAGACCTAGCCTTACAAAAGAAGAGTATACCCTTATGCTGCGTAGCATTGCTGAAGAAGCAAACGGGAAATCCCCGCTAATTATCGCCGGTGACTTCAATGCGTGGGCAACAGAATGGGGTAGCAGACTAACAAATAAAAGAGGCGAGCTGCTGCTTGAAACTTTTGCCCAACTCGGCGTATCAATAGTAAACAGCGGGTCCACATACACCTTCCGCAAAATGGGAACTGGGTCAATTATTGACATAACGCTGGCGAGTGACTCCTTGGCCCAAAAAATTAATTGGAGAGTTAGTGAGGAGTATACCCACAGCGACCATCAGGCAATAATAATGGATATAACTCTGAGGCGACCCAAACAGATGCCAAATCTGACAGGCCCAAAATGGAAAGACAGTATGTTAGATGGAGAGGTCCTAGCCTGCATGATGGAAGAGTTCCAACACAAAGCTGGCTCGGTAGAGAGCGAGGTTGACCACCTGGTTCGTAACCTCGCATGCGCCTGTGATGCTGCTATGCCTCGAAGAGTGGTGAGGAAACAAAATTCCCCATGCTATTGGTGGAATAACGATATAAAAATACTTAGACGTCAGTGTCTGAGTGCTAGACGCAGAATGCAGCGTAGCAGAGGGAGGCCAGACTTCAACGAAAACCTACAATCTCTAAGAACGGCGAGGAAGAGCTTAAAAAA